ACCTGCCCGGCCCCGATGGGCGCCGCCCCGTCCCGGCCGCTGCTGTCGGGGCCCGCGTTTGACGGGCTGTTCTGCCCTCTGTCCAGCGAAATGCCCAGCGTGGACTCGGGCAAAACCAGAAACGGATGGGGGAAACAGGATACAGCTTAGGCCCGGTTGAGAGTTTTGGCTCTGTAGGTTCAACTGTGTGATGAACTTTTGGCGACCTAGGGAAACACAAATGTGTGCAGATTTTTTCAAATACTTCTTTTGGATGGGAAGTAGCACGATTTTACGTAGTACAATTTTAAGTAGACGTTGTGACCCACTGCAGGCCTATGGAACCTGGCCTATGGCGCGCCCAGCCCATCTTTTAGCACGCTCCATAATTGTCACGTGTGCTATTCACAAATCAGTGTGTAAGACCCTAACTTGATACAGAAGAGTTTAAAATAATCATCATCAGTGATAAGTAAATGGTGTTAGTTAGTCAATATATATTGGAAAATACTTCAATTGCCTTACGTTGGTCTCGATTGATGCTTAAAAGTGTTTGATGTTGCATTTTCCAAACAAGGAATTTCAGATCAGTTCATGGGTTTGTCAAGGTAAATCTTTACGGGGTGAGTTAATCAGATTATTTGTTGGTATCACCCCTGTCAGGTTCTCCCTGTCACCTCTGGCTGCTTCAGTGCCAGCTCTTGACATTTGTGTGACTCTTCAGTGAGCTCCTGAAACATTGAAAACTTACATAAGGGAAAATGTTTAATGTTTGCAGTTTCTGCTGGTTGGTGATCTGAAGTGGCTTACCAGCTGCACAGGAAAGCACCAGACTTGATGCAAGGGACAGGGTGAAACTGGGAGTAATCACTGCACTCGTATATCAACTCATCATTTCTCACTAGAGGAACTATCTGTTCACTTTCCCAGGAAGGGGGTGGACTTTAATTTTCCTTTACTGATGTATTATGAAAAAGGGTATGGTTTTCTTAGTTCAAGAAATTCTGTTGCATGAGTAGTAAGCCAAATGCTACAGCCCTACCACTTGCTAAGTAGATAACAGAGGCACTGCTCTCAAAGTTTAAAACATGGGTTATGCATTACAATTACTTTAACAAACCATAAACTAGTATTGCCATCCACAAGTCAGACCTGAAATGCTGTGAATCATAATCCTAAAATGGTAGTGTTACACTGGAATTGCCCAATCTAATGCCTCAGCAATCTAATGCAACAGCAGGGCACTAATCCAGAGGGATCTAATGACTGGGAGTAGAACAGTAGGATGGAGAGTGGGAAGCTTGATTCTAAGAAAAAGTAATTTTAATTTCACTTGTCTGATATATATTAGAGCAGGAGATTATTTTTGAGTCACAAGTTATCAAGCTGATGCTATCAGCTAATCAATGAATTATCATCTTTGGTGTAGGTTGAATTCAGAATTTTCTGATATAATTTAATCAAGAAACAAATTTAGAAGAGTGCTGCACTGTAACTGCATTTAAATTTAGCTGCTCATTTTGCCTTCATGTTTTACTGAATGCTACCTTTTTAAGATTCATATTGAAAACACATTTCATTATAAACCAGTAATTTATAGGTTAGCATTCATAACTCACTGAGTGTGCTGATTATTAACAGCAAATCACTAACCATTTAATCAGTAACCATTTTTCTTGTTACCAGGTTTAGTGAACAACTGCTTCAAGATAAACATAACCAGCCTGATGAATTGTTCTCAATGGGTGGGCACATTCAGAAAGAGCCCTGGAATCAGAAGAAGTCTGAGAACAGAGGGCACAGGGGAACTGAGGGCTGTATCCCTGCCCACAGTGTACCCTTTCTGCCCCAGGAGACTTTAATTTGATCTCCTCACCAGGATACTTTCAGGTCCCACCCTCACCCAGGGATTACTAGGTGTCTTAACCAGGTAAACTCTCAGGAAGCAGGTCACTGTGCACATAAGGATGAACCCAGACCCCTGGCTGGGTTGGCACAGCACAGCAGGTCTGGGTGCTTTGCCTGATGGTTTGGGAACCGGAGGGAGAGAAAAGCAGAAGCATCTTGTGGACTGAGGTCTTGTGTGAGTGTGTAAAACTTCAAACCATAAACACAGTGAAACTTACAACATGTAAGAATTTTCCTCCATCTTAAATATGTATTTTTGATATGTGAAAGCACTAAACACCTAGATTTACTTGAAAGCATGGTAGACCAGTTGATGAAGGCATAAATTAATTTTTACAGTTATTCTGTAGCACCAGTAACTAAGGAACCATGAATGGCTGCATGGGCAAGGGGAAACTTGTGGATGTTGTATATTTTGACTTTACCAAGGACTTTGATGTAGTCTCCCACAGTACTTTTATAGCTGAATTGGTGAGTTCTAGATTGGATAACTGGGTCATAAAGCTGCTGGAAAATTGGCTAGGCCATCAGGCTTGAAGTGTGGTGATCTGCAGTATGACTGCTTGACTCTGGGATCAATACCTGAGCCAATATCCTTAATTCCTGATTGACAACCTGAAGACTGAGCACAGGCTCAGCAAATTTGATGACAATGATGAGTTGGGAGGAGCTGTTAGTATGCAGGAGGAAAAGGGTGACCATTCATGGGTGGGTGTACAGACTGGAGAAATGTAATGGAATTCAACAAAAATTAAGTACAAAGGCCAGTATCTGGCTTGGGTAAAGCCCATGGATCAGTGTCTCAAATGCAATGTTGTAGAAGACACAGGCTCCCTGGTGAAGAAGCTGCCATGAGCCAGCAACAGTTTACAGCAAACAAGACTGAAGGACACCCAGGCTGCCACAGCAGGGGTGGCCAGAAGCCTGAGGGAGACAATTCTTCCACTCTGCTCAGCACATGCTGAAGTGCTTAGCTTCTGACTCCCAAAAAAGTCCCAAGGCCTGCATTAGGTCAGGAACTTGGCTTTGTTCAGGCTGAGGAAGAGAAAGCATAAGGAGAGCTTAGTGCTGTAATCAGCCATGAAATGTGAAAGTCTAAATAAGATGGGGAAGCCAAAGTTTTATCCAGTGTGCATAATGGAAGGATATGCAATAGAATGTACTTGCATATGTAAGTGTTTGGCTTAGTATAAGGGGAAATGTTGAGCAGAGTCAAGTAGGGCAAAGGTTGCCCAGAAGGGCTGTGAAGTCTCTAGCCTTAGTGAGTGGAACTGGGGCAGAGTACTGTGCTCCAGGCTGGACCTGTTTTGAGCAGGAGGTTGATTACAGACCAGGGGGTCCCTTCCAACCTTCACCATTCTATTGTAAGCTGGTCAGCATGGTTTTTGGCAGTGGAAGGTAGTTTTACCAATTGTTTCTAAAGGATTATGGATTTATTCAGGGAACATTAAAAATAGGCTATTCCATGTTGGTTTTAAACCAACATTAAACAAACCAATCAAATGACCCTTGGAATCCAGAGGAATACATTCAAACACAGAGGTTTAGATATAAGAGCCGTGGTTTACATATGCACAATGATGAAAATGCTAGAGATGGCAGTAGCTTGGAATGACTTGGAGATGATCGAAAGTGATCCTGTCAAGACAAGATTTGAGACCAATATTGTAGCAGAAAAGACTTTGAATAGATTTGGAAATAAGAATGCCTTAGGAAATCAGGTAGTAGCTCCTGCACTACACAGCTTAGTAAAACTTCTAGGACTGCCATTATCAAAAGATGTTCAGTGTTCAAAGAAACAAAACCAAGCTGTGAATAGAAAGCCAACCTAAGACAAGAGGTTTGGGGAGCTTAATATATAAAAAAGGGAGCTGAGATAAGGCAGTAAATGTGAGAAGGCTGTTGTATATGGTGGAAGGGAAGAGAAGCCTATGGAGTTGTTACCCTGGGCCCAAGAAAAGTGGCAGGTGAAGCAAGGTAAGTTCAAGAGCACCACAGTATCAGCTGGGAAAATTAACTAAACTTTAGAACAATGTAAAAGGGAAGATCATGGATATATCACATTACAAACTGTAAAATGGGGTAGACATCATTGAAAAAATAGTTTTAATCCATTTTGAAAGACTGGATACACATGCAGAGAACTACAGTAGGTTGGGCACGACACCACTACTTGCCTGATACTGATGGCATTTAAATGTTGTTTTTCCTCAGTGTGCTCCAATGTGGTCTCTTGAAGACTGTAACACACCTTGATCTTAACTGTTGTTTTAATATAATTTTTTGTTTTGATGGTTTATAGACGAAACTGAAGGTAAATGCAAACTAAAGCTATATACAAAACCTCTAAATGGGAGGGAGAAAGAAGATACAAATACCTATATCCCTATTGTAAATACAGCTTATAGCAGTAAAAAATGTTTTTGCTAGAGTGAAGTCTTTAGCAGTCTTTAACTGGTTAACTTAAGCTGGCAAGTGGCAGATTATAGTAACAGAAATTGTTGCAGTGTACTTTGGATGGAACTTTTTAGTTTGAAATATTTAAGCCCTAGTTGGTGAGCTTGTTTATACCAGATATACCCCAATACTGCTATTTTATTACTTCTGAAGAAGTCCTAGTTTTTCCACTTATGGATCCATAGAGTAGTTTCATATCATAAAAAGGTCAAGCACAGATTTTATCTTTATTTCCATGAATCAAAGTTACACTTCAAGTGGTTAGAGCCTTTTTTTCATGTTTCTCAACCAAAGCACACACCTGCAGTAGCTACCACAAAATATGCACCTATTACCATTCTAACAGAGTGTAGTTGGTACTCTATTTTTTCAATCTTCTACAAATATCAATTGCCAACAGTAATTTATAGTTATTTTCTCCACCTACATGAAATGGAGATAAGCTTATCTCCACATGTTCACATTCTGTATGTTGCACGTTCAGACAATATTTGAATGTGTAGCATCTTTAAAACTCAGTAGTAAAGTGTTAAATAAGTAGCAGTATCAAAGCATCTCAAGGATCTAATACCTTAATATCTTATTTACACTTTGCTACAAACAGAATGACAAATCTACACAGTAGTGTCTATTCTACACAACTCTTCAATAAAAGGGTTTGTCTTCATAGTCTTTTTAAACACTTCACACCCTTGTGCAACTATGAATTTAATGGAATAAAGATGAAGACCATTAGAACTATTTGTTCAAACATTAGAAGTCTTCCATTAGGAGGTTGTGATATATAATCTGAATCTTTCTGGATCAGCTGAAAAGTACAGAATACATAGAATTTCCTCGTGCTCTCTAATATTTTCACAGAAAAATACTTTGATTTATGCAAAACCATACTTTCCTCTCTACATAAAAACCTGAATTTCAAAGAATCAAAGAATTCCTTATGGAGTCAACTGGAAAATACATTTTTCTAGACATGTAAATACCCTCTTTTAGAAATGGTTGGTATCTTTGGTTTACTTATATGTTGTATGAGAAAGAAAGAAAATCTAAAATGGAAAGACTACCTAATTACCTGAAGTTCACCTTTCATTTCTCTTAACATGAACTTTGGATAAGATCACCTATTTTGTAGGTGAAAAGAGAAATTCTCTACAAAACAATGAAACACAATGCGTATTTTAGTAGTGCATATTAAGTAAGACAAGGCTTGATTAGTAAAATTAATTCTTAAGGATAGTTATAAAGCCAAAACTGGTAATTTTACTTGTTCCAGAATTAGTAATCCTACTCTTTCTGTATCACCACCTCCTTTATAAATATAAAGTGTTACAAAAATATTCACAATATTATTTCTATATTAATCCATAATATTATTCCATATATTATTTTGAAAAAGTGCTTAAAGAGGCAAGTATATGAACTGCAAACTCATATCCTTCCAGTTGCCTGAAGCCCTGATCCAGTTGTTTAAAACCCTTGTTCAGTACAGAACGAGGAGGTGACAACTTTCATTTTTCCTCCTACAAATGCTCTTCCTACTTTTACATTTTCCTGTCAAATTAAGTAACAGTTGCTTGAAAAGTACAGTGTGACTTATGTTCAGTGTCAGATGAGCAATGTAGTTACTTCTAAATAGGAAGTTTCATCTCTAATGTAAGGCTTTGAGAAGTATTTAATTGCTTTCATTTTTTACCCTTCTTCTCATTATCTAATACCTTATATTCATCTAGCACAGCATGGCCAGTTTCTTTTGCAGTTCTCTTTACAACAGATTTGATACCAATATTTTCAATGTTAAATGCTGTAACACCAACATTGATTGCAGAATTCATAGCGTTGTCTGTAGCATGACCAGCGTCCTCTCCATACCTAAGGAAAGAGAGCAGTTTCATAGATTTGTATACTTAGTATTTTAAGCTTCACTGGAGTTCTTTCAAGAGCAAAAATTCAAGCATTACCAAGAAAAAATAGTAAGCACAGTGCCTGAATGTCTGAAGAATAAAATTAGAATTTATAAAGCCATTTGAATAAAGGCTGCTCCTCTATCAGATCAATTGCTCTTTGAAAATACCAGTATGCTTCTACTTTTTTTCTTCGAGAACACTTCCAGTCTTTCTCCCTTTTTTCCCTCTAATTTTGAAGAGTAAAAAGCCTATCCATAGAATGATAACAAGGGAAGGCAGAAAAGCTTTGTGCAATAACTAAAGGTTCTTTTTCAACTTAGTTCTTAGGTAAAATCCCTACACCCTCTGCACAGAAAGCCAAATGTATCCTGGGCTGCATCCAAAGCAGCATGGCCAGCAGGGCAAGGAGGGTATTCTGCCCTTCTGCTCTTCTCTTGTGAGACCCCACCCTGGAGTGCTGCATCATACAAATCCCCAAAGGGCCCAACAAAACTATCTTGTGGAAAAAATGAAAATTATCAAGAGATAAAAACCTTTGCTCTCTGCCATGGGCTGTGAGTCCAGCTTCTTTAAGCTTTAGTGGGCAAGCTGGCAGTCTCAGACTAATGACTCAATTGTGCATAGAAGACACAATGAAAGAGGACAAGGGTTCAGTGAGAGCAGTAACTCCAACTGTTCTGGGTAGCCAGACATTTCTCCAGAGAGCACTGCAGTCAGACAAACCAGGGCAAAGGGAAGTATTCCTGGCAGCATCAGCATCCCAGCAGTCAGCAGAGTTACTTTTTCCCTGAGCTTGTTATGACCAGAGATTCTTTGAGGACCTCAAGATAAGGCTAGAGAGAAGCAAAGAATATTGAAGAATCAAAAAATCTATAATATATCAGTACAGCAGCCAGAGCATGTGGCTGGAACTATCAATGAGACCAAATAAAAAGAATTAGTGGGTTTTTTGTTTTGCCTTTTATTCTCTGATAGAGCAACAGCCTTGAATCACATCAGATTTGCAGGTCAGAGAATTATCTCACAGCAGAAGTATTTGACAGTTTGATTAGTTTGTCAGTTTGATTATTTTCATCTCATGAACATCATAAGCCAGTATAGTATCAGTAAAATATGTAACCTCATTTAAAGTAGGACTGTTACCCAGTACAGTAAGACTAAGAACATCTTAATGTCTGATGACTAATTTTTTAGTTTGCCTGCCTGGATTGCATAATTTTTGACTTTTTTTTTTTTTTTTTTTTCCCAATTGTGCAAATATATACACTGCATCTATTTAAACAGTTTTTTAAAAAGGCAGTAGCATGCAACTTTGGTAGACATTATTTCTGAAGCTACGTTTTCTCCCCATTCCAATCAACGTGCATAGGATAAGTATCTCTTCCATCCAGAAGGGTGTTGCAGCTAAGTTTTAGCCATTTTTTATTTAGAGACACTGATGGTGCTCCTTTAGCTTTGTTTCTATTAAGTGAAATTGAGCTTATTCACTGGTATTTTGAGCGGCAGACATCTTTGTCACTGAAATAAAAAAACAGCTCACAAAAGGGAGATTATGTAAAATTTTAATATAATTGTAAGGATAGATTTTAGAGATTACATATCAAATATTTTCAATCACTTTAGAGTTAGCTGCAACAGGTAGTTACTTATTGTTTTTCACTCTTAGTGTCTGTTGTCTGCTGATCTCCATATTTCCTATATTTGTATCTAAAACAAAAACATTAATGTGAATTTTTGTGAAATGAGTACCAGTACAACTCCTCCTGACACTCCTACTGCAAACAAACATTAGCAATAAACCACAACTGACTAGAACTTTGGTATTTGGCCTCTTATTTGAAATGCATCACAACACAACCCTGAATGCCAACCTGTTTGATAGAGTATGCTGATATTTATCTTGTTACCATGGGCTTGTAGCCTGTATGCACTTTCGGCAATCCTTTTAATATCTCTTTTGCTACACTTATCACCAATTCAATTTAAACTGCTTGCTTCTGCTCACTCTTCACTTTCTATTAAATCTACTGCCCTCTTTGTGAGGGGTGCATTTCATGTTTCACAGTTATTTCAGTATATTCCTTTGTACTCCACAGCATATTTCAGTACATGCATACAGCTTTCATCTTTCCATCAACTTAGTAACATCATCTTGATCCCAAATGTTATTGTCCTCTTCCCCCACTATCTTTTCCTAAGAACATTTATATTCTGCAAGTCAAGGCTGTTCTACTATTGCTATATATGCCTTAGATTTCCTTACAAAAATTTCTCTTTTTGTACAGCTTTGCTTTAGCCAAACCTGCTGATAGATGAGGTTCTTTCATTTTTCATAAATTTAGCTAAGTTAGCATAAATTCAGGATTAGAGCTGGGAGGTTTAAATTAGTAATTTTTTTCATAATGATATTATACCACAGAACAAAGATACAAATCTGAACATTATTTGTAATACAGCCTGAAGCTGTAATACTTCTACAAATAAGAATATAAAAATACAATAAAATTATGTATTATAAATTATTATTATAAATTATATATAATTATTATAATATACAATATCAATATGTAATATATTAAGTATATTATATAATATAAATATATAATTTAATGATATATTATCTTCAATATAATCTTTAATATAATTATATATTATATATTTATTGATATCTATTATGGTATCTATTATTATATATTTATATAAAATTTATTAAAACAAAAATTAAATTTAAAAATACTTCCTACAATCATTTACTTGTTACAGATTTTTGCATACAGGAGATGCTCATTACTGTGCATCACCTTATCACATGCTACATAATTACAGCAAAGGAGGCATTTCAGTTAGCTTCCCTGCACTTTCATAAGTTTTTTTTTGCCAGTATTCAGAGATAGTAACAGAGTGCTGTAGAAGGTGAAAACAATAAAAACATGACTTACTTGTATTTCACTGTTTTTACAGTCTCAGTTGACACACTTTTAGCAATGCACTTTGCTGCACTTTCTAAGCCTTGCCACACTGTTGAAAACCCTGTAGAAACAATCAGCTTATTTGAGTTCATATCATTAAAAATATGCCATTAAAAAAAGTCCAAGTAATTTTTATTACCTTGAACTCCACTTGCTGCTACTACCAGAGCACCATCAAAAGTAGATTTGCCATCTTTATCCTTCTTTAGGGATTCTGGAACTAATTTGCTGCCATGCTTCTTCACGTGTGGAGCCAGCTCCTTTCCAACACAGCTCGCTATAGAACACACCCCTTCAACTACCACAAAACAGTAGTATGCAGATTATTTAGTAAGAACACAGAACATCCTTCTTTAAAAATCTTTACTCATAATTAACAGGAAGCTTCACTGAAGTCTTAATTGATGCTTCTATTTAAATATACTTATATGAAAGACATTTTAATTCACGTGTAAGTGCCCAACTGATACAGAGCAAACTTATTCTTCAGGTTCTACACAGCTCCAAATCCTAAGAAACAAGTAAGGTTGGCCTTGTGACTAAAAAGTGTCTTAAAAGACATACATACATTTCATAAATTTCATGAAATTGTTCCCACTGCTTTGTTATCTCCAACTTGTAGATAGAGAAGAACAAGCTGCTGCTTTCCTGACTTCCAGCTCTTCAAAGTAGTTTTATAAGGTAGCACAATTTACTTTTAAACTTGGATGAGTCACTATATTTACTATAGTAAATAAATATAAACATTATATGCAAATAAATAACAAAAGTAAGTTACTGAGAGCTGTTAGGTTTGCCAGGCACCTCTGAATAGGCCATTTCTATTTTGATATTTATACATAGACTTGTTTCAGGTGTGCGTGTTTAAAAACATGCACACACATTCTCTTGTGGTACTGTGTGTTAGTAACCAGTGAGAGTAGAGTTTTTAAAAAACATGGTTATCAACTTTAAAAAAAAAGAGACACCATTTTTAATTAACTGCCTAAAACTTTCAAAAGCATGTCAAACTTGAGACTATACAGACTATTATTTTAGGAGAGAAAAGGATGTCACAAGGCCAAGCAATATGTACTAGTCTTAAAGCATGTCTCTTGCAGGAGATAACTAGGCAAAAACCACTGATCTCTGAATTTCACCAGCTCAGTACATCCTCTAGTTTACAGGCTAGAAAAACCAGCATGCATTTTACAAAGTTTTTATTATTTAAGGCAAAAATATTAAATTCTATGAGATGGAAAATTTTACCTAAGAATTGGCTGACTTTCACAGCTCCTCCAGTAGCCTGTTTTGCTACGTGAAGTCCCTTTGCTACAGTTGGGTTGACTTCCACAGGCTTTTCTTCTGGTTGAATGTGCTCTCGCAGTTTAGAAGCTCCTTTGTGAATAGCTTTACCCGTGTATTCTGCTCCTTTCATTAGGCCCCAGCTTACCCAAGATGCACCTTCAAGGCAAAAATTGTTTTTCTTAGTATGTACAGTTTTATAGACTGGGATTCCTTCAGCTATCCCTCCTCTGTCTCTGCAACAAGGACCATTTAGAAACATTCCTGAGTACAGTCTGCAATTATATTCTCCCTTGAATGGGCCAGAACAGAAGTTCTGTGCCTATACCATCAACTTTTACATTCATTTTGTTAAAGTTTAATACAGCCAGCCCACATGCAAATGTCAGCCTAATACAGATACTCAGTTTTTTAATGGATATGCAAGCACCAGCTGAGTCACATCTCCATGCTACTAACAATCAGGAAAACAGACAAACCTGACCCTCTAGTCCTCCTTGCAGATATGTTTATTACAATCAGCTAGTGGTGATTACTATATTCCAAAGGTTCTCAGAGGAAAAAAAACACCTGTTTATCTGCAGAAATCACAACAGATGCCTGCTATAGTATGTGTTCATACAGGGGTAGAATTGTTCTTTGATAGTGGTTTGAGTCCCAGCAGGTGATATTCCAACAGAGTCAAATGAGGAGGTAAACTCATTTGCATGTTGGCAATGGATTTATATTCTGCATGGTTTTTATAAAGCTCATCAAGGCATCCTTTAGAGGATCAACACTGGAACTAGTGAACAACTACTTCTGATCACTCAGCTTCTATCAGCACCCATGCATTTAGGTGAAAATACTATTTAAATGTCACTCACATTGGTTTCTATTCAACACGTGCCCCTTATTACAGCTGTACCTGACAAGATTCCATGGGCAACTTTCTCACTCCATTCTGGTAACTCTTTCTGTTCTTCTGCTTCTTCAGGTTGTGGCTGGATATGTACAGTCTGAGGCAAGTGAACTGCATCACTAGAGGCGTCAGAAGGCTGACAAGAGAAAGCAAACATCTGAGTATCTACTTTGCAACATATCACTATTTCTGGTTTTGCTCATACACATCCATTATCAAATAATACTAAAGCTGTGCATGCCTTGGGTAAGTGTACAGAAACTCAAACTAAATTTAACACTCAATTAGTTTTTCCACAGAAATCCTAGACGTCCAAAAAAGCTTATCAAACAGGTCAGCTTTTTTGTATGCTTTTTTTATCCAGCTACAATGAAAGTATTTGCTTGCCAATGCAGCCATATGGCCAAATAAGCAGGGAAAATTTATACTAGTTCACCAGCAAAACAGATAAGAGACTGTCCATCTCTCATTTTTATCTTCTCAGGCAGAAGTCAACTCTGTTATTCAGCACGGAAACTGCAGTCTTTGGTTAGAGAATCCAGCTGCATTAAAGGAATGCAGCTGTTGAGGTTGTTTTGTTCCTCATCCTTTCCTCCCAAATTCAGAAATAAAGGAGATTATTCATTCTGTGTGCTGTTGCTGCTTTTTCAGACTGGCACAGCCAAGGAAAACATCAAACTGTGCACAATACTGACCCCTGCTTAAGGCTGGGTGGACAGGTTCTGGGTTACTTCATGTCAAGCTCTACGGTTTCTGGAGTAGATGTTAATCATTCAAACACAGCAACCACTATTATAGTTTGATTAGTGCTTCTAAAACATGTAACACCACTTTACACAGTTCACAGACAATGTATAATTAAACTTTAATTACAGAAACCTAAAAAACTGTAATAGGTTTAAGCTTTTGTTAAGAGAACTTTTCTAATGTAAAAGTAAATAAGCCCTCAAACATTTCAAAGATTGAAAACACTGCTAGGTAGTGACAGAAAGAAAAAACATTTCTGTTTAGTCTAGAAGAGTCTAAAATGCTCTAGGGAGTATTTATAGATTAAATCCATGGGCAGATCAGAACACACAATACAGAACAGTATTTGCTATTACAGGGAATTCTTAAATTCCCCTGAAATATTTACTGGATATAAAATCAGGGTGTTGCATGTAGCTGAATGTTGTAATAAAAAGAACATTAACAGGAAAGAGTACATTAAACCTCAGGGTGTTGGTACCCAGAAGATTAACCATGATCACTGATAGGTGCTACATCATCATTTACTGTGTGACAGCAATGTGAAATCTGGTATTCAAAAAATGTCTTCAGCATGTGACCAAAACACTCAGAGGGCTGGGCAAGAGAAATAACTTCAATAAACAGCTACAGGTAAAAACCTAACAACAAAAAAAAAAGCCTATTAAAAAACCTAAACTATGTTCCAGATGTAATTTAGTTATGCCACAGGTTGGCTATAAAAAAACAGTCAACAAGACTTCTAAGATCTACACTAAGGAGCAAAAATGGATTCTCTAATAAGACAGGGGACTCAGTATTGCAATTATATTAAATACAATTTATCAATTAGATCCTCATGATTACTACATAAAACAGACACTTTAAATGGCCATCAGACTAGGCATTGGCATATTTGTGCTATATCACAGTTTTTAAAACTTCAGAAATATGCTGATTTGAAAAATGTGGCAGGCTGCAGTAACTGAATTGATGTTTGACAACAAACCAAACAACAACAACACCACCAAAAAGCCACCCAACAAAAAATAACTACAAGACACAGCATACACAGCTGCTGTCAATCAAATCAGCAGTTCTACATGCATTTCTGTGACAAATTTTTTTTATTTTTTTTTTAACTACAGGATTTTGGAATGTCCTGGGATTTACCTGGACTTTGTGGCCAGACCTCTGTTTAAATTTATCTTCAAAATGTGCTCTCTTAGCTGCTGGGAGCTCTGAAGGTAACCCTACTCTCTCATGGGATCCTGGCACCTGCGACATTGTATCAGGGAACATTAACAAAAACACAAAAGTTTTAGGGAAATAAGGAACTAGTAAGATACCAAATTTGAACTACTTCTACACAGAACAGGAAAAATGACAGAATTTTATCCAGTGAGTCAGTATCACATAATTCTGTAGTACTTTCCCCTTTAAAGTAAAAATTAGTGGCTTCCTGTACTAACGAAATTCCCTGCTGAACTCATCAGGATTTACACCATAACAGAACTCCACCCTCATGGGATGCTCCAAACTGGTCCTTCATCATCATTGCACTCACATTTTGTGATTCAACAAAATTCTTGCATGAAAAGATTTAATCCTACTAAAATCTTTTAAGTATTTATTGACTACTGCTCTTCCTGAAATGATGCTCCAGGGCTCTTACAGTAGTATTTTCCACTTTGCTACAAATGACTTTATCTTATTGCACTTTTGTTAGAGCATGGGAGTATTTTTTGTATCCTCTACCTGTCAACATCTTACTGAAATAAGGCACCAGATTAATCTACTTTGAGATCCCATTGGAAGGCAGATTTTTGATTTTCACAGGTCTTCTCTATGGCAGCTTAACATTTTTGAACTGTAAACACATTTAGGCATGATATTCCAAGAACGGCTTCACCAAAACTACACAGAGTCAACTACACAGAGTCATGTGCATGCACACATATAAGGAAAAGCATGCTTTCTCCTGAACACATAATTTCATTTTGGGTTCTATATTCATTTAGGGAAAACAGAGAAAATATAAAAACTGGTCTCCAATTCCACTCTGTGCTGAAAATTTAGTATTTTAAAATTTCTGTTGTCTTATCTTATAAGACTTACAGTTTAATTACAAAGTTGCCTCATCATGGCTACTTTTATCTATTTTCAAACAGTTCTCTGTCAGCTGCTGGAAGTTCTGAAGACAGCACTACTCCCACATAGGACCCTGGTATCTGGGACATTGTGTCAGGGAACATGTAGACCCCAGTATTGCAGCACAGCACAGGAGACTGGGTACACATCAGAGGATACAACCAGTCACAAACCTAGGAAAAACAAGTACATAGAATCAAAGGATGCTTTTAAAAAGATAGGTAGAGCATACTGATACACACCATAAACTTGATTTTACATTAAGTTTCTAGTGGAACCTTCCAGTGAAAGGTTCCCTGCTGACGACAGCAGGGGTGGAACTAAATTATCTTTATGGTCCTTTCAAACTCAAACTTTTTTACGATTCTGATGAAAAAATCAGGTGATGAAAAATAAAAAGCCTTATACCACCTTGACAAAAAGAAAAAAAAAAACCAATCCCCATGTGATTCTGGAACTATCACTCTTGGTTAGTTCTGACAGTCTAATATAGAGAAAATATTAATTTTCACCGGACTAGAATGTCAGGCTGGTACCCTCTTAACTGAGATCTCGCTTTGAGGCCCAGATGAAAAGAACTGCCAAACAAGTCAGTATTCACAGTGCCTGTACCACTCTGGAGATCTCAGGACAGGTTTATACGACAGGACAAATAGAAATGCGTGGCTGTCACTGGCCTACTGTTGAAGACTGCTAGCAAGAGTGGAGCTGAACCAGCAGACCTCAAACCAGCTAATCTTAGCAGTAACAAGGACATCCAAAATCAGAATCCAGACCAGAAACACCATGTTCATTATAAAACATGCCCACGTGAAACAAAGACTGAAAAAGTACAAATAATGCATCTTTATTTTTTTATTTTTAGTTCTGAGTCTGAATAAACATGGACCCTTAAATTTCAAATTATCAGTTGTCATAACTGCAATACCTTATCATTAATTAAGAATGATATGGGTAGCACCCCAACCCCATTTTATCCTGATTTGTTACAAAAGGTAAATCAAAATGTCTTCTCTAGGTGATCAAATAAGTCAATTTTATGAAATGGAAGGACATGTTAAGTCCTTCACATACTGGAATTCACCAGTGAGCACTTGAAAATTTTGGGAAGACACAGAGAGGCTTTTCACAGAGAGAGTCGTAAAAGTGTGTATTTGCAGAAAAACGTTTCTGCAACACCTGTAACATCCTTTGTATTATCCCAGGGATATTGAAGCTCAGAAGAGCAAGAACCTAAGAAGATTGCCTGTTAGAGCTTTATGACAGTTCTTGAAATTTTAGATAAGGGAGAAAATTATTTTCCTGTTACCTGAAGAAATGCCGGTGGACGATTCCGAGCAGCTTCACTATCCGTATCCAAGAACTTCACGATGCGCAGATATCCAGGATATGAAGGAGCACTAACCTGCCCATCAGGAGTCACAAAAAATATCTGTACTCCTTGGGGAATCAAGATCAGCTCATCTGCATCCACTCCCAGGTTTTCCAGGGGAGGTGGCTGAGTACATTTGTTGTTGTAGTAGTCCTCGCTGACAGAAGAAAACTCCCCGGAGTCTGTGCCGTAGGACACAGTGAAGTGGCCATTGGTAGCTTGAGGAGTGTAGGCAGGAGGTGCCTCATTTGGCACACAAAGAGGTTTTGCAGAGGACGGACTCATAGCTGGAAATTGCCCCTGACCCACAGCTGCAACACTTCCACCTGCTGCCGGCGGCTGACTTGGTACAAACAGAGAATTAGGGGGAGGGGGTCTTTCTGGCTTTTCTTTGGAAGGAATGGAGGGGTATAACTTGGGTACCCCAGAAGGGGTATCCATCAGAACAGGAGATGCTTGGGTGTTTTGCTCTAGACTGCCGAGTCGAGCGCGAACATTTTGCAGGGTCTCCCTCATCTTCTGTTGCATTTGCCTGGCAGAGTCCCACTGGGACCCTACACATGCAGGACCCTCTGACGGAACACTAACTCCTCGGAGCAGGTGGTCAAGCCCTTGCTCATAGTATCTTCTTGCCTCTTCCTTCTGACCCAGTTCATCTGTATTCAGTCCTTTATTGATAAAAATAAAGGCCTTCCTGTACTCTTCATTAATGGCTTTAATATTTGCATCTTCTTGCGCAACCGGATCCTGCAGTTGTTCCATTACTGCAAACTGGAATAAAAATCAATAAGAATATACAGAGAGAAAGCCAAACAATGTTTACCTTAAAATAAAATGTCCTCTTAATGACGACTCTACTGCATGTATTAGCAGAAATCTGTCTAGTTGATTGGAACAGTGTCTGATATGTTATGGTTATCTCCTAATAACATTCAGATTCAGCTGACACGATTCCAAGACAGCAAGGAATCTATAATCAAATCTAGTTACATCACAGATATTTATTTCTTAAAAGTTAAACCTCAGAAGAACATGGATGATACTAAATTGTTCATCTTCAAGATCAGTAGCAAACAAGAGGAATAAACAAATAACTTTAAAAAATCTAACTTTTCAAAAAATATCTCTAAGGTATTAAAAAATTCAGTTACCATTTTGTCTATTTAAATAAAGGCTGAACTTACAAACAGTACATTTCCATTTGAATAATTTAAGAGAAAACGCTCAACAGATTTTTAGATCTTGATCAACTAACATCAACACACAGAACTGTGAAACACTTTGAACAGTTAAAGCTGTGCTTTACAAAATAAAAACACAGAATTACTTATTTACTTTACAGTGTTTATAGAGTGAGAAAAGGCAATTGGTATTTTACACTCCTCCCTCCCCTGGTGACAAAAATTGAAGTACCAGTATGTACAGAAGTTTGCAGGTTCTAGGTCTCTTTTGGAATGTATTCCTCAAACTCCCTCATGTATTTCAACTGAAGAGCAGAAAAGAATCCAGTAGGTTTGTTTGAATTCTAAAATGTGTTAATTCATTGTTTTAACTGTACACAGATTGTCAGCCTTGGCCAAACACAGGAAATAGAAATAATTAATTCCAATGAATTTCGGTTTGTTTTGGGTTTTTTTTGCTGGCAACCTTGAGAGGTATTGTTAATTCAGGAAAATCAGGCAATTATACTAGAAGAGAATAATGATCGTGGACAACAAAAATGGGTTACTATATTAAATTAAAGAGCAGATATTTTCAAGCAAAACCATGATTCTCTGCTTTAAGACAGATGAAAGAAAGGAGACATTTGTCAATCACAATGATATTAAGCCACAGAAAACATGGAGGTAAGTAAAATACTAAGTGCAAAAATAAAAATACTTCCATTATATGGGCAGAAGTGTTAACACAACCATACCCCTAGGGCATTGGTGAGAATTCACACACTGAGCCACACTCAAGGAAGCTGTGCTAAAAGAGGAAGAGGTGGGCAGGTTACTGATTTTTTTCTTGATGAATCAATAACTCTTCCCTAGAAAGGTGTAGGTTTGGCTTACCAAGGCAATACAACAAAGGCTAAGGGATTGGATTAGTCTCTGCAAATATAATGGATGAAAAGAAGAAAGTAAATCAGTAAAGAAAAAATAATTATTGGGAAAGAAAAAAGAATTCAATCCAAACTTGTAATAAAATCCTGAAATAGTACCCACAGTACTTTAGGTTTACTTAATGTCTCTTCTTATTTTAAACTACCAACAAACTAAAAAAATAATCTGGGAAATATCCTTCCTCTACTCCAACAAAAACAGAGAAAAGACAAAAATATTTTAAAGAGGCAATGAATGCTGTGTTCTACTCCCACGCTCTTTATAATCAAAATGCAGACAGCATTTAGGTGACTACTGCATTTGCAGTCACACAACAGAAGTGCCATGTCATCTGGGAGGCATCTGTTTTTATGATGCTACAGAATCCCGTTCCACGTAAAAGTCAAGATGTGCAGTTTCAGTGTGGTAAGAGACACGTAGCTCAGAAGATAACAGGGGTGGCTTGAGAAGGCAGCCCAGTAGAGTGGGTCAGCAGCAACTCAAGTCACCAGGTTCACTGCCCATCATGTAGCAAGTTTGGGGCTGGAGAAGATTTTTCTGATTGACTGCAATCACTTGTTGGCAGAGGTTCAGCGTCTTCAAGCTAAAGAACAACACTGGCATAAGTGTGTATTTACTAATCACCAAGGACATCACCTTTAGAAGTTAAAAATATGCTCCTGACCAGCACAACAGCAAACAATTAGAGTAAAAGCAATTGGAAAGAACTCCATACAAGGCTGTGAATATAGCTGGATCCTTACAGCAAAAATACCTGGTGACAGCCAAACCACATCACTGTCAATGTCAATATTGTATTTACTATTGAAAAATCCACTTTCCCTTTTAAGTAGGGTATGAAGATGAAAACCAATTTAACAGTAAAGACCTCTGGTTTGAGAATTGTAGGTTCTTAAAACACAGAAAAAGTTTATATAAAGTCTCAAGTTCTTATTAAGTTCTCAAGGCTTGAAGGAAATGATTTATTTATATGAACACAAGTGCAGTACAATAGTCCCCTTTGCCCCATGTTTATTGATTTTTTTTCTGGGTGAGCCTAATGCAAAAATATTTTACAGATTTCATATCATTATTTTGCTAGAGATTGTTAGCATATAGAAGAGACATCAAGTAAAATCCTAACTAATTTCAACTTAATATTTTATTGATTTACTCTTCATTGCATAGTTCTCATACTGACAGCAGCATTGTCCTTGCTAAAGCCCAGTCTTTACTGACACTAGAAAAGGTCTGTAAGGAAATGGAGATGTCAGCACCATCAGTGGCCACACAGCACTGGTGCACAGCAGAGATATAAAAGCTGCCTCAGGAACTCTGATTGTCTGAAACATCCCAAGTTTGCAGTGCAGTTACCTCCAAATAATGCATTTGCTTGGCAGAGCACTTGGAAATGGAGGAAGGACTTCACAGTAGATTTCAAGATAAACATGTAACTAAATAACTAAATGTCAGCCCAAATAACTGAATTTCATTAATTCTTAGTAATTGATTAAAATTAATTCAAAAGAATGGATGGTATTAAATAAGCTTATCTAATTGCTCCCTCACAACACAAGAATAAATATTCTCTGAAAGAGAACATTTAAATAGAAATCTGATCATATCCAAGGAGTATCCTCATACAGTATTATTTTCAGTGTACGATCTTAAATAGCATTTAAGCATCCTGCATGTTTTAATATTTATCTGTAATCCACTTCTGTACAATGCTGAATCTTATTCCCTCTGTAATTAATGTAAGCTGTAATTAATTAAGCTGTAATTAATGGAAAAAATGCATATTACTGAATACTGAGAGCACTGCAAGCCAATCTTTGGTCCTATGGCCTGTTCAGATCAGCCCAGACCTGCACATTTAGTTTTAATTAAGATTTAGAGGAACTTGTCTCAGAGAAAACCAGTCCAAACCTGAGATAAGAGCTAAAGGGCACTGTAGATAATCAGAGATCAATCCAGCACTTGAGCCCTTTTTCTTTTATCAGTCCAGATATACTCTGTGGTTTTAAGGGACTTAAATAAGGTAGGCTACAGTGCAACAATGAAATGTGTTGTAAGCTAACACCTCACCATCCTTCCTCTGAAGTAGCAAAGCTTACTTCATTAAAAAGTAACGTATATTAACAAAAAATACAGGTCAATGGTGGATCTCACCGCTAGACTTTAAACATGAAGTCTAAGGCTTATTAAGAGGATTAAACAGCCTGACTAAGGTAGGATACACTTGCCAACTCACTATTTCTGAAGGAGAGTAAGGGAGGAAAATGCATAACAAATTTTAAAAAACCTCAAACTAAAACACCCTTAATCCAAGACGTCTTCTTATCTGTCAACTGCTTTTCTCTCAGCCACCAATGCAAACAATTGTTTAAGCTTTATTTCTGTATGAAAAGAGCATGTAAGAAAGCATTAGTAACTTTCAAGAATTTGAATAATTAAATGGTATCTACAATATAAACTAATACAAGCCAGCAACTAGCTAATAAATGTACCTTTTTATATGCTTTTGGTTTATTTAAATTAATTTGCTTAAAGAAGCCTTTGAAGTTTTCATGAAGTGGAGGCCTACTCCTAGTTTTTAAGCATAGAAAAAAAATTCTCAGGCTAGACAATATCACAGACTAGACAAAAGAGTTAATTAGTTACTCTCAAAATTACCAAATACTTCAGTAAACTGCCATCTTCTGACATTTCAACCTACACCTTCTTCTCAGGCCGGTATCCTAGCACCTACATTCACTCAGCCAGCACGTCTAATTTTCCTCATCTACTACTATTTTAAGATCATTTCTGTCCAAATAAAAGCTCTTCCTTCTTGACTCTTTGGTCTGCACCTCCTTCACATGCTGTCACCACAGAGCTTTCAGGCGCCGGGTGCCTACTTGTCACTTCTCTAAAAGAGAAAGCAGAAAACCAGGTAATGCCCTTCATCTCGCAGCTGCGCTGCCCAGCACTGACATTTTTCGCGGCACCGAAGTACAAAGCCATTGTAGTACCATTCCAAAATAATGCAAGATCATCATGGAAAATTCTGTGTTATGTAAGACTGCTATTTAATACTATTTCATTAGCTGTGCGTGCCTGCCGGTTTCTGATCACCACCAACAGATTCAAGAAACTCAGAACTGCCTGGCAAGAATCCTTTAAAAACAAAACAACGAGACAAAATAAAAGGAGCATTTTTCCGAAGTATTCTGACAAGGAACCTCTCAAGACATTCAATGCATTATTTACCATCAGGATTACTTCAACCTGCCCAGATCGCGGCCCGCCAACGCCTGCCCGCGGGGGCTCCCAGCTCTCCCGCGGTAACTCGGCCGCACCGCGGGGCCCACGGCCGTCGCCCGGCCCCGGCCCCGATCCCGATCCCGGCCCCGGCCCGCTCCGGTGCCTCCCGCGGCCTCCCCTG